TGTTGGAGAGTTTTAGGATTTTGCGGGGTCGGAATGGTATTTTGGAGGAAATGGAGGGGTTTTGGGAAATTTCGGTTTGTAGTTGAGCTTTGGATCGCTTAGCCATAATGGTGGCGATGATGGTTGGCGGCGGGCAATCGGTGTTGGCTCTGCTTAAAGAGTAAAGAGACAATAAAAAGTCGTTGTTCTAAGATACGACTTTACGAAACAACCTATCGTAGAAACCGCGTGTTGGCGGGGAATGGCTACGGCCCATGGTCGACTTCGATCTACGGGACTTTCTAATCAAATAAGCTCGGACCCAGTTTGGAATTTTATTTGAGCCTGGTCCAGCCTGGAGACCGGGGTTTTTAGCCCGATATAACAGTTATGGGACAGCTTGTAGGCCCGGTCCGTAACCCTTTCTTATCAGTTGAGATATAGAAGATTCGAATTTGTGACATATTTCAGTATTGAGAAGATAAATACTACTAGATCAATAATTAATTTCAGTCCGTAACATTTGAAAAGCTTACAAAATCCAAAAAACAAAATAATTATCAAATAGGAACATTCTATCAAAATTTAGTACTAAAGAGTAAAAATATCTCTGAATTCTCGGAACATAAGAAAATTCATTAAAATTCTCGGAGCAAACATCGTGGTTTTAACCACCTAACAGTACTAAACAATAAGACAATTTTTCGTAATTATACTTGAAGCAATATATAGGAAGAAGAACACAAATACATAGAATGATTGTGTTTTATTTCTGAGCTCCATCTTCATTGGGGAGGGAAGCAAGGAATCGCTTGAGACATCTATTGTAAACACAAGGTCTTTCCAAGTGGACCAAGTGACCTGCCTTCTTTATGCCTTCAAATGTTGCATTTTCTCCTAGTTGCCTGCGTACGCATTAAACAAAAATAATATCATTCACAAAATATTTACAGGGCAAATTAAATCATTGGACCTACTCTTTCATGTTGTGGGCAAGCTCCTGCTGGAATATCTGATCATTTTCACCCCACAACAGATGTATTCTCTGAAGAGATGTGTAATTAAGCAAGCAGAAATTAGAACAAAATAAATTATTGGGTGATGTAATTAATAAGAACACAGGAAGGAAATTAGCATAGAATCCAGAAGAGAGTGAGTGCATGTGGATCACCTGGGGGAATTTGGGGATTGTTGTGTCCTTGGTGTCAATGACTAAACCTTCAAGGAGTTCTTCTCTCTCCTTCCTGTTGGTGAACATCACCTACAGATTGGCAGTAGCCCAAAAAAAACTTTAGCTAGAGGGTTGAACGATTTTGCTTCCTAAACCAGGTAACAATGATGATTTTATCTTCCTAGTATGCACATACCAAGGCGTTTTTACTCTTCAAGGTTTTTTCTTCTTAAAAAATAAGAAGGGAAAATTGAATTCGAAACCTCTTCCAACATCTTAAAAAATAAATAACAATAAATAGTTGGTCTATTTGGTTCAAACCTATGAACGTAGGTCGAGCTTACAATGTTTTCGTTACAAATCCAATGATTATTTTCTACAATATTTTCTGAATTGAAAGTTTATCAAAACTCTTTCATTATAGAATATCGAAACTCTTTCATCATTCACTTATAAATTAACGTAATTTTAGACATAAGCACAATATCAACTCCGAAAATAATTATAGATTATCAAAACCCTTTCATCCATGCAATTTTGTGATCCCAATTATGCCTAGATGCATTTGTTAACCCTTTCATTCAAAAGTGTAATCCTTCCTTTGTCCCACATCCCATTTATGTCTGACAATTCTGCAAAATTTCACCATCCACCATAGGCTCACCAGAATAATAAAAGAAGAAAAATATCTCAGAATCAATCAAACATGAAACTCTAGCATTGATATGAAGCTTTTAACTTTTTCTACCTAATTTTCCCAATATGTCTCAAAACATGCATACCTTTCTATTTTTGGGTAAAAAAAAAACTTGCATACTTGTTTGTTCAAACCCAAAAAGAAGAAGAAAACAAAATTGAATACCTCGAGGAAGTCCTTGTGAAGCCGGTCAGGAAAATAAAGCTTCTTATGAGCAGCAATAGAGAGCAAGTTCTTGAGCCCCTTCACCGAGCTGGGCAGCAGAAGCTCCGAAGAAGACCCGCACCCAAGCCTCTCCATGGTCTCGTCGCTG